AAATAAATGTCTAATTTATCGGTAATTTAAGATAGGGCTTACCCGATAAGATAAGCTTAATTTCTTCACATTAAAATCTTATCAAAATTGCATATTAGCAAGCTGCAACCGGCTGTCGGTTATTATTGTCATACGGCAATAAATTAATTTTTTATTGCACTAGATTAATTTACTGACAAATGTTATCATTTGACCTAATATATTATAGTTTAAACTGGTTCTTCAAAACGTTCTCAATTTAACAATTCTGTTTAATTGCCAAAAAAAATTCCATTTCTTTTTTTGAAGACTGATTCAATATTCCGAGGCTTGCCTAATTAGGTAATTACACGTATTTGCCCTGTCTGATAAGCGAAATTAATGTATTCAAACACATTCCGCCACTTTATAGATACGTAACACCCATGTTCGATAGCAAACCCGTTAAAGTAAGTGAATCAAATTGAGTCCGAGTAGCACCCGCAGTTTATAGTACAGCCAATTAATAAGTTTGCTCACCATAACGATTAACGACTAACGACTCGATTTCGATAAGGTTTTCAGTCACAGGACGTCATCGATTCCGTTGTCAGTAGTATAGTTCACAATGTATTGAGCGCGAGTTCGAAGAATTTCATTATCGATATTGACGAAGCAATCGCAATTGCGGCAAATAAATCAATAATTTCAACTTATCTCTAAGCGTTTTTCACCGTCGATTAATACGAGTGCGAGTGCGAGTGCGAGTGTGAGGAAACTGCTGCGAATCACATTCAGTTTAGTTTCGGATGTCCCCCGGAATTCATCAGGTGTCACGCTGTCCCGCTGAATGAATTATGGCAGGTGCGTTTCATTGGCATCGATTGCATGACGTCAGTTCAGTGAACTTGTCTATAAAGATAGTGTGTGCTCCTCACTTAATTCATGTGCGACCTGTTGACACCTGCTGCTGGCCATTTAGCCATTTAGCCAGTTAGCTATTTAGCCATTTAGAAAATTAACAACATGTCAAGCGAGCCAAGTGCCCTAATGCTCTGGGTGATTATCGCCAGTTGGCGATAATTCAGTGGGGAAGTGGGTCTTAAGTGGCGATTACCAACCGTTTCCTTTTACCTTTCTGTGCCGTTACAGCCACTTGGATCTGGAGTTAAATGGCCAAGACACGCAGAAAACGCTTCCGTCTGAAGTGTCCGGAAATAGAGTTAGATTCAATCACAAGCCGTTAGGATGGACAAGCGATCGTTGTGCCTGCTGGTCATCTGCATCAATGTGTGCCTGGTCATTTGGCTGGTCAGTGTGCAGCAGCCGCCGATGTTGGAGGCGGAAATGTCAGCCGATTTTAGCGGCACAGGTGGCAGCATCAGCAGCATCAGCAGCAGCACCTCACAACCGCCAACGGGTAGGAGGAGCCGGGGAAATCGAAGCAAACCAAACCAAATAATACACCACCAGCCTAGTCGCACACCTAGTAATAACGATAGTAGCCTAGTTAGCAACACATACCTGGCCACGCCCCCGCCGCTGATGGCTTCGCAAACGCCCGCCCCCCCTGGCAGCAGCATGCACCTGATGGATCTGCCCAATTTCGCCTATCTGATGGATCAGCCCGCCTGTGATAAGGATGTGCGGGTGCTGATATTGGTCCATTCGGCAGTGAGGAATATTGAGAAGCGGCGGATCATTCGGGAAACGTGGGCGGATCGCAGCTACATAGATCGAACCCCGCTGAGGGTCATCTTTCTGGTGGGCGGAGTGGGCGAGAATGCAGAGAGATGGCAGCAGTTTCTGGGGCGCGAGAACCACCAGCACGGCGATCTCATCCAGGGCAACTTCGACGATGCCTACCGCAACATGACCTACAAGCATGTGATGGCCCTCAAGTGGTTCAACGAGAAGTGTGCGCACGCCCAGCTGCTGGTCAAAGTGGACGACGATGTGTTCATGAACACGCCGCAGCTGGTCAAGTACCTGGCCACTCCCTCGCTGCCCGAGCACTCGATGCTCCTCGATCCGGACCTCCTGCTCTGCCGGTCCGTGAATCGGTCGAGGGTCAAGCGGACATATCGGGTAAGTACTCCTTAAATATGATTTCGTTTGCTTTGCCTTCTTTTACTTACAAAAATAACTTGGCTGGGTTTGTGTGAGCTTCGAAATGCAATTTATAGATTCATAATGCAACTTTAACAAACTGAAGATGTGCAGAGCATTGGTTAATTATCTAAATATGTATTTCAAATAATTCCAGCATTAGTCTTTTCCATTAATTTTTGAGTTTCCTAGTGTGACAAGTAAATTTTAACTCACAATTTTAACTGTAATGACTTAATTCTATCGCAAAATTAAAAAAAAAAACACTAAAATGTAATTTAATTGAATTTGAATGAAAATCTCAATGTAGAATTAAATGACAGAAACTTTAAAAACTTTTTTTTAATTTATTTATTATTTTTTATTTTAATCTATCTAAGATTAACATCATAAAAGTTCAAAAAATCATTACATTTTTTAAAAATTATTTTAAAGCAAGAGAGACGCATGAAATATTGTGAGACTGCTGGAAAATAGTTTTAAGTGTCTCAGCCCTAAAATAAATTTGTAATTTGCAATTAAAAATCAATTAAAGAACAATATGTTATCTAAAAATGGTGTGATGATAATAACTAGGTTGTAAAAGTTACTATCTTTGTGTGCAAATTGAATGCAAAGCAAACATATATCATAAGACCTTTTTGTAGTGCCCATCTAATAACAAAAATCCCTTTGACTTGCAGTCCAAGTGGCGGGTGACCTACAAGGAGTACCCGAACCGCTTCTACCCGGAATACTGCCCCGGGATGGCCATCGTCTACGCACCGGATGTGGTGCGTCGACTGTACGAGGCGGCGCAAAAGTCCAAATACTTCTGGGTGGACGACGTCCTCATCACCGGCATCCTGGCCGAGGAGACGGGCACCAAGATCACCAAGCTGAAATATTACCTCGAGCAGAAGGACGTTCGCAGGCTGCTCAGCGGTGGGGCTGATCTCGAAGAGCCCCCGTTCCTCTTCACCAATCACGCCATTCTGCCGGACGAGAGCATGACCATTTGGCAGATGGTGCTGGACAGGATCCGGAGACCACTACTCACGCATCCCGCCTCCTCATCCCCCTCTGCATCCGCATCCGCATACGCATCCTACGCTTCCAAATTCGCACCAATTGTGCCAAGTGGGAACATTTCCGAGGCGCAGACGAGCACCGGCCTCAGCTAGTTTGACTGGCGAACACTCAATGGATTACGTTTAGTTTCTTTGGCTGTTCAGTTTTAGGGTTTCGTTAAGCTTAAGTTTTTAGTTCGTAGTTATCCATAATGTTAACTGATTAACGATAGGTAGCATTTTTTGTCGGGACGAACACACAAGTCAAGTGAACCACCAACCACCTGCCCACAATCACTCGTATCATATGAACCGTAACTTATCTAAGGATTCTACTGATAGTCATTTACAACCAATGCGAATCGCTCACCAACAAAGAGAGATAGAAAACCAGAAAAGTCAAACACCACATGAACAACAAAATTCACAAACAACAGCAACGATAAAATGAGCGCAATACATTAGGCACAACTCTTAAGTCGTAAGAAAACTACAATAGTAATTAATAAACTACAAGAATAAAATCATAGGAGAAAGCTAAAAACAAAGCAGACAAACTGAGGATTCAAGTGTTTAGTGAAATCAGTGAATAACCAAACCAAATATTGAATTCAACGTGGGCCGCATGACAACGGACGGGGAGTATTTATTAAAATATATATAAATATATGTACGTAGGGACGAAAGAATTGCGGATCGACACCGTGCTTACATAATATTTAACTATTTTTTGTAAATGTATCTATTTTGTAGCTGTCCATCTCTCTGTATCGTTTCGATCCTAGTATTACAGCAATGCCAATGGATGGAGATTCTGAATCTGCGTAACGCGCATAAATTTATACGGATATTCTTAACGAAATTAAAATAACATAAGTGGGAACAGAAATGCCAGGAACGTTAACATGAAATATCAAAACAAAAACATTAGCTAATTGTACGGTCCGAGAACGCTAAAAACGATGAACGAACGAAAATTGTAACAAATGAAATTTATAAATGTGTAATGAAATTAATTAAATGTTCAAGTTTGTCAAAAATTATATGAAAATCATTTCAAAATACAAATCACAAACGAAAAAAATGCATTTTTATTTTCTTGTTTTTAAATATACATTTGAATTTTCTGCTTCATATGTATGCAAGCAGTTTAGCCAAGCAGTTTGGGAGGGAAAGAGACAACTAAAGTGTGCAGAGAAGTTTCATAGCAAGCATCTTTAGTTCGGTCTAACAGCAAGCAGACGCCAAAGTCAAAGTAAGACAGAGACAAGTACATAAGTGACTTTCATAGCAAGTAGCTTGAGTTAAAATTTGGGCGGGTAATTCAAAAATATCTATTTCAATAAAAGCAAGGGAAACACGAGATTAAGTCTCTTTGTGGCTTTTGTAAATCGTTCAGTCGTAAAAGTAAATCACTCAAAATGTTTACGATCGACCACAACAACGGATTTATAAACTGGCCTGGTTGCAACTGCATAGTTACGTTAAGTCAGGTAATATCATGCAACTTAAGGTAACAGCTGTCGGAAATACCATAATTTTGGGGCCAGGTAGCGATTATCGGGATACTTTTATATAGGCCTACCTAAGCATCCTTTGGGCCATTTAACACGTATATAAACCCGACGTCATGCTAATGAATTCACTACAAAAAAAACTGTTGACACACTGCTACTCAGCACTTGCTGCGCTAAAAATATATAAATGTATTAATGTTGTTCAGTACAGTGAAATAGGTAAATTAATTTAAACTCATACAAAATTCAAACAATTTAATTATAAATATTATTATTAATAAAAAGGAAAAATGTATTTTAATTTGATTTAATTTAATCTGATTACCAGTGAGTAACTACTAAACAACAATTTTCTTTCTCTTTACAGGTCCGAAACACAGCATTGTTGCATCACCACTCTGCCTATAAAAATACAAGCGTATATATGCATATCAAAATTCTTATTGTTTTATAATTCGAGCCATTCCAAGCCATGCAATCGTCAATATGCCGTGTTTGCCTGTTGAGCAACCAAAATATGGTTAATATTTTCAGTGCCAAACACGAATCCGGCATCTGCATTGCGAAAGTAATATCGAGGTGCACTGGCTATGAAATTGCGAAAGAGGATTGCTTTCCGAAGACCATTTGCGCGTCCTGCCTGCAGGATGCGGAGAACGCATTCGATATTATTGAAACCTACGAGAGGAGCAACCAATTCTTTTGCTTCCTTGAGGATTTACGAGAAGAGGAACGGGAATATGGAGATATAAATATCGAAGAAGAGGAATCAAATGGAGGCAAGGGAAGCAAAGACCAAGAAATGAAACTTGGAAAAGATCAGCCCGATTTGCCAGAGTTGATCGAAAGTACGGAAGAGGATTTAGAGGGAACTGATGATGAGGAGTTACAGGAAGATGATAGTGATAATGTCGAGCTATATGGTTCGAACAACGAGCCTAGTTTTGGCGATGGACCGTCTAAGAGCGACGATGGTTGTCCGGAGACTCTTCTTAAACGAAAGGGAACCCAGAAAAATGAAAGACCTTTAGAGTGTTCGCTCTGCTCAAAATCATTTACCAATAACTCACGACTTAAGACTCACTTGCTAACGCACACAGCAGAAAGACCTTTCAAGTGTTCCCAGTGCTCAAAAGCTTTTAAGCGGGAGTATCATCTAAGTATGCACATGACAGCTCACGGAGAAGAACGACCATTCAAATGTTCACAATGCTCAAAGGATTTCAAACTAAAATCACATCTATTGAACCACATGCAAGCGCACACAGGAGAACGATCATTTGAGTGTTCCCACTGCTCAAAAACATTTATCAAGAACTCACAACTTAAGACACACTTGCTGAAGCACACAGGAGAACGACCATTTGAGTATTCCCACTGCTCAAAAACATTTATCTGGAACTCAAAACTTAAGGCACACTTGCTAAAGCACACAGGAGAACGAGCATTCAAGTGTACCCAATGCCCAAAAGCTTTTAAGCAGAAACCTCATCTTGCGGCGCACATGCTATGTCATGACCTCAATCGGCACTTGCGAGTCCGCGAAGAAGAACGACCTCATAAGTGTACCCAGTGCTCGAAATCATTCACCTGGAACTCACAGCTTAAGACACACATGCTAAAGCACACAGAAGAACGAGCTTTCAAGTGTTCCCAATGTCCAAAAACTTTTAAGCAGAAGCCTCATCTTAGCGTGCACATGATCACTCACGGAGGAGAACGACCATTTAAGTGTTCACAATGCTCAAGCGATTTCAGACAGAACGCACATCTTATAACCCACATGCGAACACACTCAGAAGAACGACCATTTAAGTGTTCCCATTGCCCTAAAACTTTTAAACTGAAATTTGTTCTTCAGGTGCACTTGCGAGTCCACACAGGAGAACGACCACACAAATGTTCTATCTGCTCAAAATCATTCAATCTGAACTCAACTCTGTTGAGACACATGCAAAAACACACAGAAAAACAACGCTTTCAGTGTTCCCAGTGCCCCAAAGCATTTAGACAGAGAACTGGTCTTCAAGGTCACATGCGAACGCACAGGGCAGAACGACCATATAACTGTTCCCAATGCACTTCAACATTTAAACGAAGTTCAAATCTTAATACACACATGCGAAAGCACACAGGAGAACGACCTTTTAAGTGTTCTCATTGCTCATCGAGCTTTAAATTTAAACATTGTCTTGTTCGCCACTCTAAAGTGCACTCAGAAGAATGACCTTAAGTGTGATTCCACTGCTGAACATGTTTTAATATAAATTCAAATCTTCACGAGCACTTAAAAGACCTAGCACCACGAAAAAAGCAAAAAGAGGAGTGTTCCCAGAGCCCAAAGGAGTCCAATAAAGTGAGTTTAACAAATTAAAAATTCAAGTTTCTCTGCAGGAGACTGAATATTAGAACTCAAGAATACGACCGTTCAAAGGTTTCCAATGCTTAAAGCACTTTTTAATTTAATTTTTATTTAACTACAAGCCCAAACAGAATAAAATATATATATATTTTTTATAATTAGACTAAGAATTTTAGAGATTTGTGTTTGTAAAGCTGCACGCTATGAATTTTATTCTTCCATAAGCAAATTTATTTAATAATTTAATATAAACAAAAACAAATGCTTAAAACATTATTTCTGGTTTTTATCATAGGGATGGAATTTTAGGGGACAATCAATTTTAAGGCAAGTGTTTAATAAATATTGACTATCAAGTTTTTGACTTGTAAAAAAACGAGTCTCAAAACATTAAACAACAATTTTACTTGTCGGTGTATATTGCATATTCCCGACGTTTGTTTTTAAAAATTGGCTAGTCTTTGAATTTAAGGTGAGAACTGGACTTGAGAACTTGATTTGACCGAAGACGCTTCCCTTTAAGGCAGCACAAGTTTACGTAGATCGTTAAGCCGTACACCCTTCAAATAGGTAAACATTATGGGGTAAATCAAGCTAAAAATTCCTTAGGCTTACGATCCTAATTTTATTGGCCACGTCCACGGTATTTCAATTTGACCTGCCTGCATCTGCATAGTCAGATAACATCTGTTGGAAACATCCTTTTACCGATTGCCAGGTACTCGCCTGCGGTACCTGAAAATCCTTTGGCGCATCAAACATGTATTTAAGCCAAATGCCATGCCTAATGAAATCACTACAAAAATAACTGTTGACACACAGCCATCTCAGCATTTTGATACCAAGAAGTTAAGAAGTCTCAAAAAAAATCGTATACGCGTAAAATAGTCTGCTTATGTAACAATAAAACTCTTTTAACTGGTAAAAGATTTTTTTTATTTAATTTTATTTTTATCTGAGTACCAGTTCGAAATAACTCTAATAAGCGAAATATTTATTTATCTTTACAGCTCAGAAACACAGATACCGCCTTGTTGGCCTAAAACAATACAAACGTATAAGCATCTGTATACATTTATTCACATTGTTTTATAATTCTACAATATCTAATAATAATTAATTTTCGAGTCATGAGTTCGACAATATGCCGTGTTTGCCTGATAAACAACGAAACTATGGTTAATATTTTCGATGCAAAACACGAATCTGGGATCTCCATTGCGAATGTGATATCGAAGTGCACCGGATACAAAGTTGAACTAGAGGATCGACTTCCCAAAAGCATTTGCGAATCATGCCTGCAGGATGCGCAGAACGCATTCGATATTATAGACACTTACGAGAGGAGCCACCAAATCTTCAGCTTTTTCATAGATGTACGAAAAGTGAAACGGGAAAGTCCTCATTCCAATTGCTCCGAGGAAGGGACAATCGAGAAAGAGGAATCACATGGAGAAAATGGAAAAGGGGAAGATAATGATAACGACGACGGGCTTGACGATAATTCAAACTATGTGCCCAGTTCTAAAGATGGCAACTCAAAAAGCGTCGATGGTCATCGACTTAATTGTCCCCAATGTACGAAAAATATCCACAAACGAAGCCTCAAACGACATTTGCGAACCCACATACAAGATAGACCTTATAAGTGTTCCCAGTGCTCAAAATCATACACCAGCCATTCCCAACTTAAGTTACACTTGAAAACGCACTCAGGAGAACGAGCATTTAAGTGTTCCGTATGCTCAAAAACTTTTAACCAGAAGTCTCATCTTGGGCCGCACTTGCGAATCCATACGGGAGAACGACCATACAAATGTTCTATCTGCTCAAATTCATTTACACTGAACTCAACTATGTTGAGCCACATGCGAACCCACTCTGAAGAACGACCCTTTGGGTGTTCCCAGTGCCCAAAAGCATTCAGACAAAAAGCTGGTCTTCGAGGTCACATGATAACCCACAGCCAAGAACGACCGTATAGCTGTTCCCACTGCCTTACAACATGTCGCACAAAATCAAATCTTAAGAAACACATGCTAACGCACACAAGAGAACGACGTTTTAAGTGATATCAATGCTCATCGAGCTTTCAATTTAAATATTACCTTGTGCGTGACTCTGAAGTGCACTCAAAAAAATAATCTTACATGTGATTTCACTGCTCAACATCTTTATACCCTTGCAGAAGGTATTATAATTTCAGTCAGAAGTTTGCAAAGGAGACATCTCCGACCCTATAAAGTATATATATATTTTTGATCAGTATCACTAGACGAGTCGATCCAGCCATGTCCGTCAGTCCGTCCGTCTGTCCGTCCGTTTCTATGCAAACTATTCTCTCAGTTTTAAAGCTATCTGCATGAAACTTTCCCAAAAGTTGCAGGTAGTATATAAGTCGGGACGAGCCGGATCGGACGACTATAGCTAGCTTCCATAGGAACAATCGAAAAAAAAAATAAAAAAAAATTATAAGTTGTTTTTTATTTTTTTTGTAAGTTCTTCGACATATAGTAATGGTTAATTATTTCAGAATTACGGGTTAAATTTCATCAAAATCATACGATTATATCATATAGCTCCCATGGGAACAATCGGAAAAAGAAATAAGAACAAATTATAACTTTTCTGTTTTTTAATTTATTTTTTAGTTCTTCGACATAAAGTAATGGTTAATTATTTCAAAATTACGGTTTAAATTTCATCAAAATCGGACGACTATATCACATAGCTCCCATAGAAATAATAAAAATATATAAAATAACTATCAAATAATTGCGCTGCAAATCATCAATGTTTTTCAACATATTCGCAAGTAAATCATCATTTTAATGTTTTCAAAAGTATTTAATTCTTGCAATAGCTGCAAGGGTATATGAACTTCGGCTTGCCGAAGTTTGCTTTTTTTTTGTTTTTATTTAATTTTATTTTTATCTGAGTACCAGTTCGAAATAACTGTAATAAGCGAAATATTTATTTATCTTTACAGCTCAGAAACACAGATACCGCCTTGTTGGCCTAAAACAATACAAACGTATAAGCATCTGTATACATTTAATCACATTGTTGTATAATTCTACAATATCTGATTAATTAATTTTCGAGCCATGAGTTCGACAATTTGCCGTGTTTGCCTGATGAGCAACGAAAATATGGTTAATATTTTCGATGCAAAACACGAATCTGGGATTTCCATTGCGAATGTGATAGCGAAGTGCACCGGCTACAAAGTTGAACTAGAGGATCGACTTCCCAAAAGCATTTGCGAATCCTGCCTGCAGGATGCGCAGAACGCATTCGATATTATAGACACTTACGAGAGGAGCCACCAAATCTTCAGCTTTTTCATAGATGTACGAAAAGTGAAACGGGAAAGTCCTCATTCCAATTGCTACGAGGAAGGGACAATCGAGAAAGAGGAATCACATGGAGAAAATGGAAAAATGGAAAATGAAAGAGGGGAAGATAATGATAACGACGACGGACTTGACGATAATTCAAACTCAAAAAGCGTCGATGATGAACGGCTTAATTGTCCCCAATGTGCGAAAAATATCCACAAACGAAGCCTCAAACGACACTTGCGAACCCACATAGAAGATAGACCTTATAAGTGTTCCCAGTGCTCAAAATCATACACCAGCCATTCCCAACTTAAGTTACACTTGAAAACGCACTCAGGAGAACGAGCATTTAAGTGTTCCGTATGCTCAAAAACTTTTAACCAGAAGTCTCATCTTGGGCCGCACTTGCGAATCCATACGGGAGAACGACCATACAAATGTTCTATCTGCTCAAATTCATTCAGTCAGAACGAAACTATGTTGAGCCACATGCGAACCCACTCTGAAGAACGACCCTTTGGGTGTTCCCAGTGCCCAAAAGCATTCAGACAAAAATCTGGTCTTCGAGGTCACATGATAACCCACAGCCAAGAACGACCGTATAGCTGTTCCCACTGCCTTACAACATCTCGCACAAAATCAAATCTTAAGAAACACATGCTAACGCACACAAGAGGACGACGTTTTAAGTGATATCAATGCTCACGAGCTTTCAATTTAAATATTGTCTTGTGCGTGACTCTGAAGTGCACTCAGAAGAGTGATCTTAAGTGTGATTAAATCTTCAGGTGCACTTTCAAAAATTTATATCTGAAATTCATTTTACAAGAGACACTTGCTAACAGCACCTAGAAAGCAAATAAGGGATCAAGTCCTTCTATAGGTAAATGAATATTTGAGCCATGGGACTCAAGGACTTTTCATGTCTTAACCGGCATTTGTCAACCAGCGAACAGGAATACGAATAATTGAAATATAATTTAAAACAAGCCCACAACGGATAAAATAATCAAACTTCTTATAATTAGACTATGTTTAATAGAGATTTGTATCAATAAATCATCAGATCATAAATATAATTCTTCCTTAAGCAAAATAATTTAATTATTTATTACAATATAATAATACAAATGGTCAAAACATCATTTCTGGCTTTTATTAAAGCAAGGTAAGAATATTTTCGACAATGGTTTTTAAATAAGTTAACATAGTGGGGTATATCAAGGAAAAATGCCTAAGGCTTACAATCTTGCTTGTGCGGTGTTACAATTTGACCTGCCTTCATTTGCATAGTTACGTAAGGTCAGGAATCAGTCATATAACACAATATTACAGCTGATGAAAACACCATTCTGTAGCCAGGTACCAGGGATACCTTTATATAGGCCTACATAAGTACCCTTTGGCGCCTTAAACTAGTATTTAAGCCCAATGTCATGCCTAATGATTTCATTACAAAAACTACTGCTGACGAATTTCCATCCAATTACTTATAAAGCAAAAATTTGTGGCATTGAAATATACAAATTATACAAATACTAAAGTCTGTGTTTGGTTTTGAGTTTCAGTGTATTGAAACAGGTACTATAATGCCTTATACTAAGCAAACAAATGTATTATTTTTATAAAATATTTTTATTTAGTTTTAGTTTTATCTGAGTACCAGTTCTGAAAAAACTTCTAAACAATATATTTCTATCTCTTTACAGCTCAGAAACACAGATATCGTATAATTGGCCGCCTACAACAATAAAAATTGTCGTATTGTTCTGACAATTTTTAATGATTACTTAATTTTTGAGCCATGAGTTCGACAATATGCCGTGTTTGCCTGATGAACAACGAAAATATGGTTAATATTTTCGATGCAAAACACGAATCTGGGATTTCCATTGCGAATGTGATAGCGAAGTGCACCGGCTACAAAGTTGATTTAGAGGATCGACTTCCCAAAAGCATTTGCGAATCATGCCTGCAGGATGCGCAGAACGCATTCGATATTATAGACACTTACGAGAGGAGCCACCAAATCTTCAGCTTTTTCATAGATGTACGAAAAGTGAAACAGGAAAGTCCTCATTCCAATTGCTCCGAGGAAGTGACAATCGAGAAAGAGGAATCACAAGGAGAAAATGGAGAAGCTTTAAATGGAGCTGAAGACGAGATACAGATGAGCCACCAAGTCTTCAGCTTTCTCAAAGATGAACGTGAAGAGAACCAGGATAGTACTGATTCCAATTGCTCCGAGAAAGGGACAATCGAGAAAGAGGAATCACATGGAGAAAACGGAAAGGCAGCTGAAGACGAGTTAGTTGAAGATAATGATGAGTACGATGAGTTTGACGATATTTCAGACCATGTGTCCAGTTCTGAAGATGGCAACTCCAAAAACGTCGATGATGATCGGCTTAATTGTCCCCAATGTGCGAAAAATATTAACAAACGAAGCCTCAAACGACACTTGCGAACCCACATAGAAGATAGACCTCATAAGTGTTCCCAGTGCTCAAAATCATTCACCTGGAACTACCAACTCAAGGCACACTTGCCAACGCACACAGGAGAGCGAGCATACAAGTGTTTTCAATGCTCAAAAACCTTTAAGCTGAAGTCTCATCTTAGTCGGCACATAATATTTCACGGAGAAGAACGACCGTTCAAGTGTTCACAATGCCCTAAGAAATTCAAAATCAACGCACACCTTGTAACCCACATGCAAACGCACGCAGAAGAACGACCATTTGAGTGTTCCCACTGCCCTAAGACTTTCAAACTGAAATACAATCTTAAAGTGCACATGCGAATCCATACAGGCGAACGACCCTACAAATGTTCTTTCTGCTCAAAATCATTCAAAGTGAACGCACATCTAACAGTCCACATGCAAACCCACACAGAAGTACGACCGTTTAAGTGTTTCGTC